GAAGGGGTTTTTGCTTTGTTTTTAATCCATCACCACCCCAATATACAATCCTCAACAATCATCTTTAAAGTGCTTAATGAGATAAATTTTAAAAACTTAAATGGATTTGATTTTGTGAATAATTAGAAACATTTCTCTCTCCCCACTCCCAGCCCAAAGCTGGGGATTGTTACTCTTGGAGCAAACTCCCTAGGATGAGCAGGGTAAGACAGAATCAAGAAAGATAACAGGAAGACTTTGGCACTAGCCAAAGCTTGTTGGAAAAACTGCATCCAATCTTCACCCAGATGTATGGCTCTAGTTGTCCTATAAATCATTTGAAATGCTCAATCATTTTAAAGTCACTGAGATTTTACCCATCTGGATAGTAAAGGGCACTTATAGATAATTTACATACTATCTTGAACACTGAAGTCTCTACTGAAAGTCTCTCAGGACCCAGGACACTGTTTTATTTTAATTTTTAAGAGGAAGGGTCTAGAAAGAAAAATTCAATAAAGCTTGTTCATCTCAACCCTGGAGAAGAATAAATATCACCATCATCTCACTAGTATCAGAAAATGTTGTAAACTATGTTTATTGTTAGATATTTCCCAAAGAAAAAATGATTTTACCCAACAAAGTACACACATGGTTTTGTCTCTCCTATTTTGTAAAACATTGTGATGACAAATATTTCAGTTCAATAATATCTTTTAAAATATTTTTGATTTAAAAATGTGTTAATACTAAAGCATGGACCACTCCCCAGCAACTTTGATCTTTGTTTAGTAATGACATGATGATGATGGTGGTGATGGTAATGATGAGGAGGAGGCATAATGAACAAAGAGCTAGCCTAAAAATCAGGAAAACCTAGGTTCCAGTCCCATTTCTGACTCTCATAGGCTGTGAGACCTTGGTAAACTCATTTAACCTCTCCTTGCTTTAGGCAATCCAAGACTCCTAAGTTATGGAAAAAACTCCAGACTTTTGGTGGTAAAAAGGAATTTACTCATCTGGGATTTCCCTACACTGATGAAATTACAAATATAGTCTGATGACAATGATGATGATAGTAAGAGTAAAGTTATGCCAATTCCACAACCTTCAGATGGTGTAATTGTAGTGCTGAAAGATATGTGGCGTTTAAACCCAAATCAGTGGACTGCTGAAGCTTTTCCATAGGTCATTAGATTTTGGTCACCTCTACACATAATGGCCTGAAGTTATCACCTTGATTAATTTTTATGGACTGGCAAAATAGGAAACAAAATGAGATGGGAGTGAAAATATGTTGCTGCTGCTGTCTATAATGCCTACTTATCTCATCCAAGAGGTCCCACCAAGAACCATGTGTGTGTGTATGTGTGTGTGTGTGTGTGTGTGTGTGTATGCTCAAGTGTGTACTCAAGTACTCTCATTGCTTTACATCCCAGGGTAGTAGTCCATCCCATTACAAGCAAACAAAATAAAAGATAACTGCAAATTTAAGTCAATCCATTTTGGTCAACAAGCAATGCCAACCTGCAATATCAATAGCATGTGGCCTCTTGCTGGCCATTCAAAATAAGCAAAAAAGTTCAGTTAAAAGAGGGCTAGATTTGGAGTCATCAGACAAAAGTTCATATTCCCACTCTACTATTTACTTCTTGTGTGACTCTATGCAAGTTATTCTTCCTCTGGATTTCAATTTCTTTATTTTTTATTTCTTTCTTTCCTTTTTTCTTTCTTTTTCTTTTCTTTGGCTAGGCAATTGGGGTAAGTGACTTGCCCATGGCCACACAGCTAGTACATGTCAAGTGTTTGGTCTCAGGTCAGATTTGAACTCAGGTCCTCCTGACTTCAGGACCAGTTCTCTATCCACTGCGCCACCTAGCTGCTCTAGTGGCTGTCCCGGGTTTCAATTTCTTAACATCATCATCAACAACAAATCATCATCAACTACAACAGTAATTTATTAAGAACTTAATATATGCCATGCACTGTGCTAAGTAATAGGAATAAATACAAGTAAAAAGAGTCCTTTGCTTTCAAGGAGCTTACATTCTATTAGGGGAAGACAACCCATAAAAGGAAGCTTAGCATGATCTTTAAAGGTTTTCTGTGTAGAAGCCTTCTCTTCTATCTTGATCATAAACTTCCCAAGTTCAGGGGTCTTATGTCTTCTCTGTACCTTCCTTCAACAATTACTTTTTTGACTGCTCAGTGGATGCTCTTTCAGAACAGCTGGAATAAGTTGTCTGCTCCCTCCCTGAAAGGAAAGATAGCTCTGGACAAAGAATGCCAATGCCCAAGATAGGTTGTACAAGGTGAATGTTGTGCATTCCTTGTCATCACACAAATTTTCTCTTCCCAAAGAATTTAGCAGCTCATTCCTCTCTACAATCCTTTTACAATTTGGTAGCCTTGGCAAAAAGAGTGCAGATTGCCACTTATAGCACCTGACACTTACTATGCATTTGCCCTGGGATCAGGGAGAGGGGGGATTTTCACACTTCTCTCAGGAAATTCAAAGCTCACCTATTTTCACTATTCTCCATGTGCTTCAGAACAGGTATGAGAAAAGAGGCCCAAACTCCAACTCCAAGGTCAAGGGAAATAAAGCTGTTCCCTGCTGATCTGGGGTGGATTTTAGACTAGTGCAAGAAAAGGCATGATGGAGACCTAGAGGTCTACTTGAGTCGGTTATTCTCTCAAACCCGAATTGGGCATACCATGGGACCGAGGAAATAAGGAAGCAAGACTGTCCCTAGAAAATGTAAGCCATTTGGAGACTCCACCTTCTATACCTTGAGTTCCTCTAATTGTTTTGATGTAGGGGAAGATGATGGGATTTGCTGAGATCCCAACTTCTCTCACTCAGTCCCCAGAAATGCATTAAAGTTTTTGCAAAGGAACCATAATCAGCTGGTGAGCAAGCTCTGGTAGAGGTTGGATTTTTACTACAATTATTTCTAAAAACTGGGACTAAAAAAAGGCTTTGGGGTGGGGGCCAGGAAGGGGATGGGGGTGGGGGTGGGGGGCAGTGGTAAGAATTTTTAGTCAGGAGGATGAGGGAAAAGTTGAATCAGGTTCCTAACATTAATGTGAGTTTTGGGGGAGGACAGAAGGGGAAAATAATGTTTTTAGGATTATCACTTTAAAAGATAATTGCTTCTGTTTTGAGAAGGCTTGAGAGGGCCAGGAGATCTAGACAGGCTATAAGAACAAGGTTTGGAAGAGGGTATTTTAAAGAATTTAAACCTACTTACTAAGCCAGATGTCAAGATGGAGAGGGTGGTAGCAATGGAATTGGCTCTATTTTTCTATTTTAAAGGCAAAGGAAACATAGCCAGAGAGTCAGAGAACAAGACAATGACACAGTGATTCAGAAAATTCATTCTAGTTAAGAGAGAGGGATAGAAGGAAAAAGGAAGGGTTAGAATGAATTTGTTTCTCTCTTCCCCTACTTCTAAGAGATCCTGATTTTCCCAGCAGGCAGATACTTCACTGCTGGCAGCAATGCAGAATTATCCAGCAGTTTTGGGCCGAAATTGTATCTGAATCTAGTGAATTTTAGTAAGATTGATTAGTTGAGCAAAAGCCCTTGGCTTCAGTGTGCTTGAGGCACCCTTAAGAACAGACTCTCCACTCCTGGGAAACTTGGTTTGGTCAGAAAATCAGAAAGGAAATATTACAAAATCACATGGCTTCATTTCTGAATCTCTTACTATGAACTACACATTTCATATGAGTAAAGACAGATGACTGGGCACGAGGGGTTATTCCAATGTCTGTAAGGACGCCCTTTCAAATTACTAATTATGGCATTGATGGACAGGACATAAATTAAAGGGTATGTTGGTAAAGTTACTGAGTTTCTGCCCCGTTTCTAAGTTTCTTCTTCATCATTTGATTAATGAAAAGAGAAAAGAAAGGTGTTTCTTTGCAATGAAACCGCAAAGGCATAAGTCAATCCACAGAGCTTGATTTCACTGTGAACAGGCTTCCCCTCCACCCCTCAATGCTAATTCACATCCGGTGGCAATTCTTGATGGTGTTTTTTTATTTTGTTTTCCTTACAAAGGACTTTGGCTGTAGAAGGTGACAGAAGGTGGTGTTTTGTTTTGTTTTGCAAGTTATAGTCAGTTGATTTGCCCTGTTCACACTGCTACCTGGTGTGGACAACCTTACTTCTGCATTATTTATCAAAACAAAAATTAATTCACCCAACATGGCCCCAGAGTGCCCATACTCAGAGAGCAGGGGTTCACATCCCTCTCTCTCACATATAGGTCCCACAGCCAATTAGTTGATAAGAAGGACCATTTCACTTTGGATAGTTACCTCAAAGGAGCTAAACGCTAGTTATTAGATAATGGGCCAACTCCCCTGTGGCATCTTGAAGATTCTATTGCTACAATCCTTTTATTAATTACACTGCAGTGCATATAGACAAATTATCTCTTTTTTTCCCCCACGATTAGAAAATTGTGAAAAGGTTTCAGAAAAAAAAGGTGGATTTTCTTTTTCTTTTTTAAAATTGGGATTGTTTCCTTTTTTCCTTCCTTTGGGCGTTTCTCCTGGAAAATGTCACACACAGTACTCTCAGGGAAGTATGTTGCATTTGAGGTCCAATGAATTTAAAGATAAAACATAAGCAATAGCAGAAGGCTAGAAAGTTTATTTTTTAATGTAAGGGTCCCTGGTGATGCCAGTTTCTTTCTTTTTCTTTTTCTTTTCTTTTCTTTTTTTTTTTTAAGGCTCGGTTTTGATGCAACCTGTACGGAGGAAAGGTGAAGTTTGCTGTCCGCAAAACAGAAGGCAATTCGCTTTCAGGGCGGTTCAGGACAGGGACGCCAAGGGTTCAGCAGCTGCCTCATAAAGTGGTACTGGGCTTCTATTTCTCAGGCCCGGGTGTGGTCTCCGCGAAGCCTCCCCTAGCTCAGCAGAGCTGCTTTCTCTGGGCTCGAATAGAGCCTGCTGTGCAAACAGACGCCTAGAGACCCTTTCGTCCAGCACCGGGAGCGTATGGCTCAGCAAGACGGCAAAGGAGCCTCTCCAATCTGGAAGTCGAAAGTTCTGGGCGAGGTCGACTTTTTCCGCTGACTAGGACTCAAAGGATTGAAATGGTGAGGCGGGGTGGGGTGGGGAGAAGAGGGGGACAGGGGAAAATCATTATTAACCAGGCTTGAATCTGGACTTTTTATGGCTTTCTACCGACTCCTAGAAGCACTAGCTAGGGGCACCAATGCGGACTCACTTGACATACTTTTCTGCGCTCTCTCTCTCCATTATCCTACAGGATATCAAGCTGCCCAAACGCAGAAGGAAATAAACGTACTCGACTGCCACTGAGTATCTTAGAGGCCTCTGGAAGGTGCCAGCATTAGACTAATACATCGTAGTCGTGGATAAAGCGCTCTCTTTCTCTCTTCTCTCTCTCCTTTTATTCCTTTCCTCTTTTCTCTCTTTACCCCTCCCACTTACTCTCCTCTCGCTTTCTCCTTTGTGCTTTGTAATTGATTAGTTTTTGTTGAGAAAAATAAAGCCTCTAGTTGCTGCAAGGTAAAAGTGTGTGTGTTTTTAAATCATATTACACTATCTACTTTGGGTTTTACAAACTTCATTTTTTTTTCTTGGAACCCTGGAGAATCATGTCACTGGGCCTTGGTCATATGAGCTCTGGAGTGTGCCCCCTTCCCTGGACTGAGGGTGTTTCCTCTCCCCAACTCCCGAAGCAACCCTGAAGGGAATGCATATAAACGAATCCAACCAAAACTCGGGTATTTACATGTGCACATACACAAGCATCATTTCAACACACACACACACACACACCCTTTTTAGTCTTCATCTCACCCGCCTTCGGGGGAAACGAGGGAAATCGAAGACTGTGACTGGGAATTTGATTTCCAGGTTTCGTGACCTAATGGTTTCTCATCAATCCTGCATATCCAGATGCTTTCCTTGTAGTTTCCCACCCCAAAGCTCACACATTGCCCGCTCTTCAGCGATATTTACTTTGTATTTGAAAACGCACCATTCTTAGGGCTCCAAACCTACTGAGCTCCGAGAATGGGATGGGGGAGGGGAGTGCAAGGATGTGGGCGCACAGAACTGGCGGCGCAGTTGTCCTGGTGGAGAAATGAGGGGTTTGAGGAGAAGGCAACTGAAGAACTCTGGCGTCACCAGAGTTCCAGAGACCCTGCTGGTTTGGGCACAGGAGGCTTTCCTCCTAGCCGCAATTTGGGAAGCTAGATCTGGCTCCCGCAGCCTTCTGAAACAAGTCTACTGCTCGGTTTCAGGCCACTTCGCTGGGGATGGCAATGTGAAAGAGAGACAAGACTTAAGGCCTTGATCTGAGAGTACTTCCCAGGGAAGCAAATCAGAAAATGGGGAGGGGGGGAGAAAGGGGAGGATCTCTGAGATACTTGGCCCGAACGTAGGGCTGGGAGAGTGGAGGGAAGGAGAGATGCTGGCCCTAAACTTTCTCCACGCGGCTTCCTTTGACAATTGCAGCTGCGGCCTCCTTGACTATTTTCCCTGCTACAGCTGTCTCTGTATGCGCCCATCTGGACTGGGGCCTCTAAAGGGCCCACAGATTTGGGGAAGCTTGAGACAATGTCTAGAGCAAAGGGGTGTGTGTATGTGTGTGGGGGGGAAGACTCGAAAGCAGGAGTATTAAAAAACAAACTTTTATCCCCCTTTTCACCCCACCCCTTCCCCGTAAAAGCGACAGAGCCAGATTAGAAGAGCAATGGTTGAGTGTGTTCCCGAAGTGCAGAAAATGGGTGACAAGTAGGACCTCTGTTTGCTTGCTCTCCGATCGCACCCACATACAAGGAATAATTCCTCCGCTCCTTTTCTTCTGGCACCCTGACCCAGACCTGATTCTCTTCACAATCTCCCCCCAGTTCCAAAAGCCTCTCCTCTGTTCATCTCCTAAAGCGGGACATCGATTCCCTAGCCCAGCTGCTTCTCACCCGGGGGCGGATTTTCACAGCGGAGAAATATAGATCGCTGATCCCTGGGGCGGTAAAGCAGGGGAAATAGTCAGGGACCAGGCGGTGGAGATGTTAACTTTGCTTCATTCTCCCTCCCCTCATCCCATCCCTCTCCCCTCCCCTAAATAAATCAGCCCTCGCAGAACCACTAAGGTTCGTTCGACATTTCAGGCACATAATCTCTCTCTCTCTCTCTCTCTCTCTCTCTCTCTCTCTCTCTCTCTCTCTCTCTCTCTCTCTCTCTCTCTCTCACACACACACACACACACACACACACACACACACACACACACACACGCTTTCGCGGCTGCCCTGACATCTCCCCATTCGGGCTTGTAAACACTACGAACTTCTGCTGAAGACAATGGCACTTAATTGATGTATTGCTATCAACAACAATAAAGACCAATTCTTCTCTTTCCCTACAGACACCAATCTCTCCCCCTCCTCCCTATTCCCCTCTCCACCTACCTCTCCTCTCCCGTCCCTTTAAAGTCAAAGAGAAAGAAAACAAACAATACATTAGCCACCAACCTCTAATTCTAAGAGCACCTTTTGTCTCAATGCTATAGAGTATGGAAAGGAACGAAAAAAGTTATTAAACTTTTGTTGTTCCAGTTATTTTTTTTCCTGCGAGCCTATTTCAACACTAAAAATTTAAGCAATTGATTTTGCGTTTTCTTTTTTCTTTGCGGGGACAGGTAGAGCGAGAGGAAGGTTTGTATATTCATAAACAAAAACACGCGCACCACACACACACACACACACACACACGTAATATACACTGGTGCAACTGTTCCGGAAAGACAGATCTTGGGCGTACGCTGAACGTACAAACGAGAGCTATATTGTATGTGCAAAGTAACTACTCTCCTCCCAGGGGGCTTCTGATAGTAGTTTAGGTCTCCCGAAAAGCTTCTTCCGGGGGGGGAGTGGTTGTGGAAGTGTGAAAAACGAATGTGTTTGTGTGCACACAGAAGTTTTTTCGGGTCTTTAAGAGTGCACTGGAGTTTACGCGCATCTTTGTGTCAGTGCGTCTCTGTGAGGATTGGGATGTAAGTACTGGTGAGTACATTTTCTTGCGCCTTGATCCGCACACAAATTGGTGCCGGGAAAGAAAAGTGGCTGACACACCAGGCGCGAAGTAGATCCATCTTTACTGAGGGGATCTCTTTAAATATTCAGTGGAAAATAATGGCATCTGAAGCGGCACCTATAGAAACATTATTATCTTCATTCTTCAACATCATCCCTACTGATGGATTCGTTTGTCTTTTAATCAAAATCTATTGTACGCAACAGGACCAGGGAAGGCAGAGATGAGGATAGACAGGAGAGAGAGAGAGAGAGAGAGAGAGAGAGAGAGAGAGAGAGAGAGAGAGAGAGAGAGAGAGAGAGAGAGAGAGAGAGAGAGAGAGAGAGAGAGAGAGAGAGGGAGAGGGAGGAGAGGAGAGAGAGAGAGAGAGAGAGAGAGAGAGAGAGAGAGAGAGAGAGAGAGAGAGAGAGAGAGAGAGAGAGAGAGGAAAAACCACTGGGGGGGAAAAACTGATGCTGGCAGAGGAGCAGAGAGACAGGAGAGGAAAAGAAAAACAGAGCGAAAGAGCTACGAAGACTAAGAGATAGAAAAGCGGTTATACAGCTTAGGGGGAGGTGTGAGAAGGAGATACAGAGACCGTCTTTAGGAAAAGCAGCTCCTCTGGGGAACCTCCAGCAGCAGAAGCTAACTGCGCGCCTAGCTAGACTCCCTCTCCCTTGTCCCTATTTCTAAGATGAACCGGCGGTTTAACTTCGTTCCTTGCATGAGATGCAAAATCAGAAGGTATGCTTCCGAACTGGGGAGTCCTTTATACTTCCATCCAAATTTCCTTAAAGTCATTTGAAATGGAAATGGTTATATCCCTTCGGTTAACTTCTGCATCCTACAATCCCCGGCCTTTCCTTCCTTCTACAAAGAAGTTTGTTATTCTTCTTGACGAGGAGAGCTGAACTGCCCTGACCCCAGAATAAATGATGCGAGAGGAAGCGAAAGAAACAGAGGGAGGGCAGTCCAGGTTCCCAAGGGAAGGGACAGAAGTTCTGCCAGCACCTCTGGTCCTATGACAGCCTGCGCCTTGGATGGCAGAGCAGACTAGAGAGAGCGAATCAGGACCCAGAGCTGGGGGAGACCAAGAGGGTTAGTTTTCTCCCGGTCCGAGCGCTCCTGCCCGGGATCTGAAAGTTTCTTCGTAGGGTTCCCCAACCGAGAGAGAACAGAACGCTACAGTCAGAGGGACAGGCGGACACAGACGCACAGAGCACCTTCCAGTTGCACACGCACACGCGCGCACACAGACGGGCGCGCGCACGAACATACACACACACACACACACACACACACACACACACACACACACACACACGCACATTCATGCACTAATTTTCAGAATCTGCCTAGAAGGACAGAGATACAAGCAGGGCTAGCTCCAGTGGCTGCCCCTTTTGGCCCCCCAATCCCCTACAAGGCTCACAGCGCCCCCCTGAGCCACCAGTAGCACAGTGGACAGAGGCCTGGGAAGGTGCGAATTGCCTGGATCCAGGGCCTCGGTCACGGGCTAAGGGCCTAGGATCTTCTTCCCTGGACCACAGTTTTCGGGCTGGTACGATAGCTTCACCCAGTCCCGAGTTCTATAGGGGGTAGAAAGATGGAAAAACGGGCCGAGTATGTAGAACACGGGTAGGATCCTCGGTGCCCGATCCCTGATCCCCGGCCCCCCTGCCCATACTGCTCGGAGAATAAACTCCCTTCCGTGGCCAGTCGCCTTTCTCTGCCCGGGGCTCCTCGTCTTCGCCTCCTCCTCGGCCGCCTCCTCCTCCCCCGCGGCCAAGTGACGCTCTCACCTATCAACCCCAGGTGGCGCAGGGTTGGGGGGTGACAAAAGAGGGGGCACATTTGCGGGGGCCGGGTGGTACCGGGCCTCCCCTACATCCCACTGACACTGGGGCCGCTTCTCCCGAAAACTAAAACTTCAGCTCTAATTGCCCTGGGAATGAGTGAGGTAGAAAAAGAGAACAAGAGAGTGAAAGGAGGGGGAGGGGGGCAAGAGAGGAAGAACAAAACAAAACAAAACAAAAAAAACCTTCCCAAACCTTTCCTGGATCGTCTTCTCCGCACCCCCGGAGCCCTGGATACTGGGAATGTTGAGCTCTGGGAGAGGAGCTGGCGAGCTGAGAGGGAGGGAGCGGAGGAGGGAGGGAGAGAGAACTGTGGCGGACACAAGCAGGAGGCAAAATTGTGCTGGACTATTTTTTTTTCCCCCAGTGTGGGTGGGTGGGTGGGTGTGATACTTTTCCGCTAGTGTTTTCTGATTGAATTTGATGAAAGGGGAAATGTACAACCAGATCCGGATAGGTGGCTAATGGCTTAATCAGGGAGGGATTCTGCATTCGCCCCCCAGAAACCTTCTCATCCCACCCTTCGCAACTGCCCTCCACAAGTCCCTTAGCCCTGGGCAGCCCAGCTTGGTCCGGGGAACCAGCAGCTGCTGGAGTCTGTGAAGCGCGGTCCAAGTTGGGAAGT